TATATATATATATATATATATATATATATATATATATATATATGCGCTTAACGAATAAAAATAACAGGAATCCGATAAGTTAAGATAACAGGATTAGATCAAAATTTAACCCGATAACATCCTTAATTTGTATTCGATCAATTATTTACCTTTAATATTGTAATTAAGATCGGGTTTTGAAGGAGGATTAAGGCTTAACCGAATGAGAGGGTCTAATTAGAGAGTGCTAATTGCGTGCTTTCGGTCTCCTCCTCGACGCTCTCTTTTTATGCGTGCTCCCCAACCGAACCCCAACAACGAAGGAGCCGCCCCTCCTCCTCCCCTCCCCCCCCTCCCCCCTCCCTCCCTCCCTTTCCTCCCTCTCTCTTTCTCTCTCTCTCTCTCTCGCTCTTGATCCATTTGTCGTCCGCTTCGCCGCGCCACCTTCTCCATCGCCTCGCCAAAGCGCGCTACGGAGAGAGGTAATCTCACTCGCTTCCTCGTATCGTCACCTCTATTGCCGAAACCCTAACCTTCATCGTCGGCGTTAATAGATCGAGGGGGAATCGAGGGTTAGGGTTTCGACGTGCTGCCCCGGCGATCGGCCGCGGCGGAGGCGGCGGCGGGGGACGGAGAGTCCTCTTGGGATGGCCCATCAGAGCAAATTCGTGTCGGTTAATCTCAATAGATCCTATGGCCAGCCCTCCTCTTCCTCCTCCTCTTCCGTCCATGGCCGCTCTCGCCCCGGCTCCGGCGGCGGAGGCGGAGGCGGAGGAGGGATGGTAGTCCTTTCGAGGTCCCGGAGCTCGGCCACCTCCGCAGCAAAGACCGCCCAGAAGCTTGCCGTTCCGCCCCCCTTGAACCTGCCGTCGCTGAGGAAGGAACATGAGCGCTTCGACCCGGCTTCCTCGGGGTCTGCCGCCACCCATGGCAGCCCTGGTCTTGGATCGCGGGGGGGCACTTCCGCTCTGGGTTGGAGCAAACCTGCCCTCCCGGTTCCAGAGAAGGATGCTGGCAGCAGAGGCCAGTCGCAGTTGGGACGATCGGCGATCATTAATGACGAGCTTGCCGGTAGTTCCTACATTTCTCCTGGTGCTCGCCCTGGTGGCCAGCCGCTCAATGCCACACCAGGTCAGGGGTTTTCCGAGAAAGCTGTGATCTTGAGGGGCGAGGACTTCCCATCTCTTCGGGCCACCTTCACCTCACCTGCGAAACAGAAAGACACATCAAGCCAGAAGCAGAAGCAAAAGCTAGGAGTGGAAGAGCAGTCGGAAAGGCGGGAGGTGTCCGAGTTACATTCGCCTCTTCAGATGAGGCCGCAGATCAAATCCTCTCGTCTTATTGCCAACAGCATGTCAGATGGTGATGGGGGGCTGATCCGACCACTCTGTGCTTCAGAACAGTCACAGCGACAGGATAGGGACTTGCCGGGTCTGCTGCCGCTCGTACGGCTTCAGCACACGTCAGATTGGACTGATGATGAGCGCGACATAGGGCTTAGCATCCCTGAACGAGAGAGGGATCGGGGGTTCTTGAGGTCCGAGTTGGTTCAGGTTCATGATGCTTATGATGGCCGAGGGCTGCATGATACCGAAGGTGGCAGTGCTTGGTCCAGGGAGCCCTTCAAAGGGTATCCTTCTGGGAAGGATGTAAGGGCTGCAAGCAATGAAAGTCAGGATTTTGTCTCGTGGAGGTTTCCAATGAATTCAAGGGATAGATTGAACACCAGTTCACCGGGAGTCGACAGGGATAGACATTATGCTAGGCCCATAAGTGGAAACAGGGAAGTCAGTACGGAGGGTGTTAATATTCAGTCATCTTTTGGAGAAAATGGTAGTGATGGTTTTGCTAAGAGGAGCCAGGATTATCGAAACGCCAAGATGGATTTGGTTTCTTCTGAGCACACTCGAATTGGTAAAGTTGTAGCAGAAGCATTTAGTGGGACTCATGGTCATGGCCATTCCAATAACTGGTCCAAAGGAAGCTCCTTTCAAAATGCCACAGTCTTGAAGGGCCAATTCTCTACTGGAACTAGAGGCACTTCCTTGAATGATCCAACGCTGAACTTTGGTAGAGAAAAGCGGTCGGCACCAAGTGCTGGAAAGCCATATCTTGAAGACACTGAATTTGACAGCAAGGATCCCTTTTTAGGGGGCATCAGGGACATGAATGCTAAAGCATATAAGAAAAAGAAGGATCTCGAAAAACAGATTGATTTCCCTGACCCCATCAGGGAGTCATTTGAAGCAGAGCTTGAAGGAATTCTGAGGACGCAGGAGCAGGAGCGCCAACGCATCGTGGAAGAGCAAGCCAGAGCATTGGAGCTTGCACGTAAGGAAGAGGAGGAGAGGGAGAGGGTGGCCAGAGAGGAGGAGGAACAGAGGCGAACGCTTGAAGAAGAGGCAAGAAATGCTGCTTGGAAAGCAGAGCAGGAGCGGTTGGACGCTGCAAGGCGAGCTGAAGAGCAACGGATTGCAAGGGAAGAGGAAAAGAGGAGGTACCAGATGGAGGAAGAAAGAAGGACAGAGGCTGCACGGAAAAAACTTTTGGAGTTGGAAGCCAGGATTGCGAGACGGCAGGTAGAAGATAATGGAAAAGATGATAGGGTTCACTCTTCTGTTACTGCTTCTGAGGAACGAGTCCCTGGAGTAGTAAAGGAAAGAGATGTACCACAAGACACAGAAGTTGGAGGCTGGGAGGATGGTGAGAGGATGGTAGAACAAATCACTAGCTCTGCCCTATTTGATTCTTTGTCTGTGGATAGGATTCTGGAAGTGGGTCCTAAGTCTCAATTTCCAAGGGATACCTTTCCTTCATTTGCTGAAAGAGAAAAACATGCTTATGGCCGCACAATTCTTCCTTCACAAGCTGATGACAATCTCTATCATAATCCAAGGCAAGATGCATTTGGTCATAGAGGAGGCTTCTCCAAGAAAGAGTTTCATGGTGGTATTGAGACAAGGTCTAGTAGGCCATCATCAAAAGGAGCAACAATGATTGAAACATCACAGAGGCCAGATGAATACCATGAACCAAGGAAACAAAGGTGGAACTCTAACAAAGAGGTTGATTATTTCAAGAGAAATAATGACATCAATTCAGAGTTTATTGATAGTGTTAAGTTTCGAGATGTTGGAATGGTACCTGGTAATTCACAGGGAAGTCCTCAGGCTCCATACACTGAAATATCATCGGATAACCCCGTGGTTGATGGCTTTTCCTCATTTACGAGGTATCGTCAGTTCTTGAGGCAGCCTCGTGTGCCTCCACCCCCATCTGTGACATCAGTTCAGAGAAGCTCTTTCAGAGATCCAGCAGAAGGAGCAAGTTCATCATGTTTCATAGATGATGATGTGCATTATAATCATCCAAGTAGATATGAGCAAAAGACTTTACACAGAGGTTTTGACAATGTGTTTCATGAAACCCATCAGCAAGGTGGAACAACAGCTTTTCTCGAAAAGAATGCTAGCCAGTTTGAGCAAGAGGCAGAGAAGATGAGCCCAAGATATGACTCCCAATTGTCCCCTTCTGTTTCGAGCCCACCTAGCTCGCCTGCGCTTTTGCATCATGAGATGGACATTTCCAGGGATTCTCCCCCGCTGCCAGCTTCTGCTGATGGTGAGCGGACTATCGTATCTGACAGTGAGCATATTGTATTGCCATTGGAGGGTGGTGCTGTCGATAGAATGATGGCTTCAAGGTCAATCTCTCCTGGAGTTGATGATGAATGGCCTGTTGAGAACAATGAAGAGATACAGGAGCAAGAAGGTGATGAATACCAAGACATAGCTGAAGCACATGATGGTGTTGATGAGAATTTTGATTCAGTCCAGGAGATAGAAGATTTACATTCTGATGTGCAGACTACAACTGGGGAGATGGAACAAGTAATTCTTGGATTTAATGAAGGTGTTGAGGTTAAACTTCCTAGTATAGACAAGTTTGAGATAACTTCTAGCAACAGCGAAAAGGAATTCAGGATACATGCAGGTTCGGCTGGTAATTTGGAAGAATCCATCAGTAATTGTGAAATTATTGTTCAAGAAGATGTTATGGATAGTTCTTTACAAAGTGAACCTGAAAAGTCATTGAAAGATTTGTCTCTTGATCCAATCTCAGCATCTAGCTATTCTGTAAATGGTGCTGAAGCATCTCAGAGCTCAAGACTGCCAGCTCAACATTCAGTGACTTCTGCCACAAGCTGTCCAATGACATCTACAGCCTCGGATTCACCCAACTTATCTTTTCCTTCTATTGTCGTCAGTCAGGGTGAAGCACCTGTTAGTCTCCAGTTTGGTCTGTTTTCTGGTCCTTCTTTGATACCTTCTCCTGTCCCAGCCATTCAGATTGGTTCTATTCAGATGCCAATACATATGCATACACATATAAACCCTTCTCTACCACAGGTGCACCCTTCGCAGCCTCCTTTATTCCAGTTTGGCCAGCTGCGCTATACCCCAACCATCTCTCACAGTATATTGCCACTAGCTCCTACTAGCACAGCCTTCATTCAGCCTTCTGCTTCAGCTCCCTATTCCTTTAATCAGAATCCTGCTGGTTCTTTGTGTGACCAAACAACCCAAAATTACTATTCAGACAAATCACGAGATGAAAAGCCTTCTGGTTCTTCACATAAACAAACTGATCTTGTGAAAAACCCCTTCGAATCTTCACAGCATAGAGCATTGTTAGATTCTGGAAAGAATGTTTCTATAGCTTCTCAGAGTCGGACAGAAATATCATCTTTGGTTGAAAAGAAAGGTGCAAACAATTCAATTTCCCAAGCTGAAAGCCATGGTGAAGATGATGCCACCATGAAGAAGGGCTATAGGCTCACTGGTAAGTGGAAAGAATCTCAACATCAACAGCAGCATACTGAACTACAATCCTCCAGGTTCTTTCCAGGAGGAAAACCTCCCTTAAGGAATCCAGGCAATTTCTCTGGTGGGAGGAGGAAGAGATACACTTATAGTGTAAAAAATGCTGGTACAAGGTCATCATTTCCAGGTGAAGATACATTGCAGGCAGAATCAAGTGGCTTTCAGAGAAGAGCCAGGAGAAATATTCGAAGAACAGAATTTGGAGTCAGAGAGAATATTGCGAGGAAGCAAACACAAGGTACAGAGTCATTAAATAGTTTTGGGCAGGATGAGAAGTCAAATGAGGATTCAATGGCCACTGGGATTTCTATAAGGAACCTAGATAAGAAAGATGCTCCTTTGGATAGGTCAGTCAAGATTGCTAATGATCCTGACAACCTAAGTTCAGGTGCTTCTATCTCTTTAGTTGTGAGCTCTGATAGGACAGAGAGAGTCATTAGAAATGAAACTACTTTAAAGAGTGAAAGCATCTTTGACAAGTCTCATGCTGGCAAAGGCAATATCAAGGCAGGTGATAGTCTTGAGGGCGATGTTGATGCTCCTCTGTTGAGTGGAGTTATTCGTGTTTTCAAACAGACAGGAATTGAAGTTCCTAGTAATGAGGATGACTTTATCGAGGTAAGGTCCAAGAGACAGATGCTGAATGACCGCCGAGAACAGAGGGCAAAAGAAAATAAGTCAAAATCCAGGGTGCCAAAGGTAGTTCGAATCTTTCTCAGATCATAAGTTTGTCTCTCTGTTGAAAATGTTCTAAAGCGATGTTTCTTTTTGTTCTTCATATTGTCAACAGGGACCTGGCAAGCAATTTGCTGTTCCACAAAGTAATGCTGCTAGCTCCAACCCTAATAAAGCAGTGACATCTTCAGTTAGCGACACAACTACTATTGTTTGTGCTAATTCTCTTGTCGCAGAGGGAAGGGAATCTACTAGACTGAAGTCATCATTTGTTACCACTGCTAATTTGACATCTCAAACTCTACCTCCAATTGGCACCCCATCGGTAAATGCTGATTTTGAAAGAAGATTGAATGACTCAAAGTAAGCTCTGTTCCCTGGATGGCTTATGTTTTGATTTTTGCACAAGTAGGTTCTTGATTACATTGAATTTACAGGTCAGGTCAGGCAATCATTGTACCTGCCGTATCTGATAGCGAGTCAATACTCGTTCCAGGTCTACTAGAAAACAAAAACACGTGTCCCGAATATACTGTATTGCCATTGAGTTCCTGGGACAGTACACACACGAGTCATCAGGTAAGCTTACGAGAGGAGAACTATTGTGGTTGATTCTTTTGTTGTCCTGCTTTTGTAGTTGGCTTTGGCATCACTTTCTCTTTTTCTTTAATAAATGCCTCTTATATAGTACATTCAATATTCTAGTTATTGTAAAAGCACAAACTTGCCAACATTTTATCTTTTCATTGGTGTCGTAGTTTTTGGTTAGTCTTGAACTTGGATGCTATATGGATGTAGTTTTGTTTGAATTTGTTGCTGCTTGTAGCCATATGGTATTGTACTATGGTATAAATCCTATTAAGTAATTTAGGCTGCCAGATTAGTAATTTTTATGAACAGATTTCTAAATTGGACAGTCTAGGCTCTTAGTTAGGTTATAATTATTCATGAATGGATTTAGAATATTTGAGAGCTTGTTGTTCTTATTGTTTTTTGTTTGTTTTTCTCTAGTCTTTCCACCACACTTACGCATTATTGTTTAGGCCAATGCTGGAATATCTAGCCTTACATTATTGATATTTGATCAGTCGGAACTGTTGGGAAAAAAAAGTATTGTGGCTACTGGCTCTATTTACCCTTCTGTTTCCTCTCATTTTCCAATGATCTCTTTCATCTCCATATCATTTCTCTCTTCTGCCTTTTTCTTTGGCTTTTTTTTCTTGTTTTCAAGCTAGAACTCATATCATTCAGAAACTGTATTGCATCTTATCCCAGCATTAGTGTATCCGTTACTAATAAATAACACTTCTATTCCCAAAGATCAAAGTGAAATTTTCATGGGCATAGAACAACGTATACCATGTTTTGGACATTTAACATCGTCAGGTCTGTTTAGAGCACCTTCTCGCTCAACAAACTCGTTATTTCTGCACAACAGCTCTTTGGAGGTCAAAGTTGAATAGGTGCAACAAATGTCTACAACAGTCTATATTGCATTAGTAATTCTCTCTAATAGTCTCATAAAATAATTGTTACAAAATAAGTTCAGACACAATCATCTTCTCAGTCAGGTTCTCTATCTTGATGTTGATGTGTTGGGAGTTGATATGCTACCGGAGTTTGCTGGTCTTGATGTTCCAAAGCCCACCTGTAACCAGGGTTGGTGTAAAGGGCTGAATTTTAGCCTGTTACTAGTTTGGATAATATTATGCTGAGGAAATTTTTAGTATAGATAATCATATTGGTAGGTTTTCTTTTGGGATTTTCGTAGGAATGAAACAAAATTTTCTTGTCTTGTTGGACATGAGGCTTATCTTTAGGTATTGGACTTCCATTTCCTAATAGATGTAGAGTGCGTTTTACATGCATGACATTTTGTCAAGTCTGTGATACATGTACATTCTGACAATATTATTATCGACTTTGTCAGGTGATTGCCCTGACTCAAACTCAGCTTGATGAAGCTATGAAGCCAACACAATTTGGTTCACAGTTAGTTTCTAGCATTATTCTTGAGCCCCACAAACTCGTATCATCTATTGTGACTCCGGAAAAACCTTTCTCTTCATGTGCAAGCCCTGTTAATTCCTTGCTTGCTGATGAGAAAATTCAGTTCGGTAAGTGTATTTTGCTTTAAATGCTGGTTTTGCCTAGTGTCACTGGACACTGTAACTCCCCGGTTTAGTTGAACAATTTTTTTTCCGAGTTCAGGAGCCGTGATGCCACCAAACATTTTACCTCCTGTCAGCCGAGCTATTTCCAAGGGAACTGGGCCACCAAATACATGCAGGCCAGAATTAAAAATAGGTCAAAACCTGTCTAATAACAGTTATTCTATGTTCTTTGTCAAAGAACAGTGCCCTGGCGAACCATGTGCAGATCTCGAAGATGCAGAGGCGGAAGCTGAAGCAGCTGCTTCTGCTGTTGCAGTTGCTGCCATCACCAATGATGAAATGGTTGGATCTGGTATTGGTACAGCTTCAGACACCAAAAGCTTCTCTTCTGCAGATGGCACTGCTTTGGCTTCCGCAGGTGATAAAATGAGTCCTACCTTACTCCAACATTTAAGAAATTCATGCTTTATTAATTGCTTTGGCTTCCGCAGCTTGATACTTGTCCAATGAATTAATTGTGAAAGTTTGCAACAGGTGCAGCAAATAGCCATGAAGTAACTGGTCAGTCATCCTGTGAAGAATCCTTGACAGTTGCTCTCCCAGCAGATCTTTCAGTAGATACTGCACTCTCAGTATGGCCGGCTTTACCGAGCCCACAGACATCCCAATCAGTGCTCTCACAGTTTCCTGGAGCCTCACCTTCTCATTTTCCCAGCTTTGAGATGAACGGTATACTAGATGGGCGTATTTTTGCTTATGGGTCCAATGATGAGTCAGCTGGCTCTCAGGGACAGCCACAAAAAGGTGCTGCTTTGGGTTCTGGGGCACTGGGGTCTTGGCCACAGTACCACCCTGGCGTTGACTCCTTTTATCGCCCACCGGCAGGGTTTACTGGCCCATTTATCAACCCTGGAGGAATTCCTGGTGTTCAATGCCCGCCACATATGGTCTTCTACAATCATTTTGCTCCGGTTGGACAATTTGGGCAAGTAGGCGTAGGTTTCATGGGAACTACTTATATACCTGCTGGGAAGCAACCAGAATGGAAGCAAAATCAAGTATGTTCTACGGTTAATGACAGCGAGGGTGACCTGAGCAATCTAAATGCTGTTTCTGGTCAGGGAACCCCAACCAGTGCGCCAGCTATCCAGAATTTAGGCCCAGGTTCACCTCTCATGGTGGCTTCTCCTTTGACCATGTTTGACATGAATCCATTCCAGGTATGATTTTTCTAAATGATCAGCAAAAGTAGAGATCATAAATTGAAAACCTTCGTTAATTTTTGTTGGGAGAGGCTTTGAGGCAACCATTTTTTTAATGTTCTCTAGCTTTTAAAGTGAAATCAACAATTGGAATGCTTGGTTGGTTGGTGCACCCTTCGAGGTTAGGATCCTGGGATGAAGGATTTGAAACAAGGTAGAAAGGGCAAAGACTTGGATGAGATTGTTGAGAAAGTAGTCAAGGTTGCTTTGAGCAATCGAGATATGAATTTGTATACTCAAGCTGAAATTGGAAAGTCTACTCAACATGATTGGTCATGACTGTGTTCTTTTGGTTTAGTGGGTTCAAAGTCATTGTGGAAAGAATACATATCATGTGAGCAGCATTAATTTTGTGCGTGCCCTGCCCTCCTCCTTTCCCCCTTCCATTGCACTCCATGATGCACCAAAAGGAGTGAAAAAATCAAATTTTCAACCACATGGATCCTTTGTGAGAAGTAAATGTTTCGCAAGTTGAATATATCAATCTGCAGCATCATAGATTACAAAAATTAAGAATAAAACTGTGTTCTTTGTTTTATTTTGATTGGTCGATTGATATATGTGCCCCTGTTTTAGTGATGGTAAAACATCTAGATTTTTTATATGTTCCATTATTTATTATACTTATTATACTAACTGGGCTTCACATTTTTATTCAGCCGGCTGCCAATATTCCATTGCAAGCTTGGTCTCATGTGCCTCCACCACTCCACTCGATTCCCTTATCCATGCCGCTACAGCAGCATCACGTGGAGAGTAGGATTCCTTCACAATTAGGCCGCAATCTTTCGGGAGATGCAACCACCGGAAATAACAGGTTTGGCGATCCTCGTCCATCAGTGAATTCTGAAATTAGTAGGAGCATCCCATTTCCGAACTCTACTGCTTCCGAGATCTCAGATGAGCTAGGTCCACCAAAGCAGCCAACTTGCGGCACTGCCACTACTCAGACTGTTGTGCCTCGGGAAAGTACTGCAAGTGCGAATGAGAAGAAGGATCTACAGGTGGTAGCGAGAACAATTGTATCCGGAATTGATAGCAGGGGCACTCGTGCAAGTAGCAGTGAGGGTAGTGGCCAGACAACCGGCTTGCCCTCTAAGAGTCTGCGACCAACTTCATCAGGCCAGCAGCACCATAATCAAGCTGGACATGAGCAACACCGTGGGATCTCTCAGAGAACAGGCTCTGGAGGTGAATGGCATCGGAGGACCACCGGATTCCAGGTCAGGAAGCAGGGTTCTGGAATGGACAAGAACAACGGCCCCCCTAAAATGAAGCAAATATATGTGGCTAAGCCATCAAGCAGTGGACTATCAAGCCAAGGCCAGACTAAAACTTGATGATGACGTCTCTCCTTCATAATAACGGAGGTCATCGTTTCTGCTCTCTTCATCCAAGTTGATCCTTGGCTTTTCCTTCGCCATGAGAAGTCACCGGTGCCCTCAAATCCACGAGAGACTGCTATGTGCTTGTTCAGTAATTTATTCTTGATGAACCATGATTTTTATTGATGGGCTTTTGACAACTTAAAAATGATTCATAAGGCTTGTCATATTGTATGCCTTCTTTTTTGCTTCATGTAAACTAGGTTTATCATCTTATAGTTTCCTTGATCATTTTTTGCTTACATCTTGTGCATAGAAACTTGGATTGCTCTATTCTTTTGCTGATTGCAGACGATTTTTTCTTTGCACTCCTTCACACAAGAAACATTTTTGTGTTTCCAATAAATTTAGGACTCAAACAAGTATTTTATCTTGGGAATTCATTGAGTTTTACCTCTGGGCTATGTACTATGTACTGCATCTTCACATGGTATTTCCCTTCCGAGGCTCTCTCGAGGATGGATGGCCCTATGTTCTCATCATTTTGTTTTTTCGCCAATAAGCCAATCTTTTGATGAGTTCAGAAGCCTTATTAAGAAAGCTTGTGGTAGGAATTTTGTTTTGAATATTTTTATCATATAGTTGATACCATTTAGCAACTTATGAGGACAATTGGGAAAGTAATGATTTTATGTATGTATGTATGTATCGTGAATGAATTGATGTTACGATCCAACTATATTATCTATATTTCTTTTACGTAATTCTAAACGATATGCTTTTATGTCGCTCTTGGATCTTAACATATGAATCAGATTAAATGATAAATATAATTTTTTAACGAACTTTAAATTTAGTATTCTTCTAAATTGTTATATGATATATCAGCTTTTATGCCATGGGCATAATGATCGTTTATAGTTTTTGTAGCTCATCGTTTTGTTATGTAAAATTTTCGGGTTAGTTTGATCTACCCTCTCTCGAGGTTCACCGTTAAATAAAAAAGAAGCATAAGTAATTGGACAAATTATTCACTCATATTGCAGATACCAAACAAACAAATATTAAAACAACAAATAAATTATGTTGGCCCTTGAAGGATGCATCTGACTTGCATCACAGGCAAAAGCTTAAGATCGAGCCTTAAATCTTGTGTCCCCTACTCTGTGCCATGAGCTTCGGTTGGCATCCTCCAAGTTCAACTGTTGACCTCCTGATCTTTACACAACGAAGCCTCAGTTTCAGGGGGCACAATGCTTGCAATCACTTCACACGTTGTGGCATCAGATCTGAAATTTGCTGGATGTGGACAAGCATGGTTCACATCAGAGATTGTGGTAACAAGTGCTTTTCTGGATGGAACAACCTGCAAAGCCACCAAGTGTAGACATTAGTTGGAATTCACAGCAAGGTGCACACTTCGTTTCAACTCAGATATCTACAAAATTGTAAGCCTTGTGAACAAAGAGCACACCCATTACTTGATCCTTGATTGGTTCATCGACCGGTGCACTCCCCCGTCTTCTTTTCCTGCAGATTCTACTTGACTGTTGCCCAACTATAAGTTCATCGGCAATAAAGTTCTGATCCGACACTTCTGCAAAACGAAGCTACCCGTTTCAGGCCACCACATATTTCGAGTAAAATAAAGATGACTATGATAAGCTTTGTGGATTTTCATGAGGTTCAGAATTTGTAAAACTAGAGATTTTGAGAATATATACCATTCGCAAAGCATATAACCTCTAAAAATGGAATTAATGTGCATTTATCATATCATTTAATGTAACTTCTTTTATTGCTCTAAGAATATAAATCTCTTTGTAAGAGAAAACAGACGATACAGTAATCGGTGAGTCTGCAAGAAGCACTAAAAATAAGCATGGAACTGATACATTTTTTGCAAAATGTAAATCTAGGTAGATTTGAACTGGTTTTGTGACAGATCTCTCTCATCTCGTACTACAACAGCAAAAGCAAAAGACCAATCAAACATATACCCAGTGGTATCAAAATGTATGCAGATTTGTTTATAAAGATTTCCAAAGTGCACTGACTTCTGATGTGCAGCATTTTGAAAACAATGCCATTTGTATAATGTATGCATACCCTTATGCAACATCTTTCTTTCAAATTTTGTCCATGTTTAGAGAGAAAAAAATCCATCTTTTCAATTCACTCTGTATAATGGCGATTGTTGTCGACTTAATACTGGCAGACGGTAGAATGATTAGTGCATAACAAACTCAAAATTTTCCCTTTCATTAATCGGGAACCGAGAAGATAATGAGCTATAGGATCAATAGGGAAAGACAAGGCAAGTGAACAAAGGCTGCATGGCAGAAGAAATACCTGTACTGCTGTCAATAGAATCTTGATGACAGATTCTATTGAACTCGGTATCATCATCTCTGTCAGATGACTTAAGATGCTTTTCCTTCATATTGTAAGGTGATCGAAAATGTTGAACCCATGGGTTTGTATGTAAAGGGAAAGAACCATTCTCGATTGCTGCATGATTATTATCCATTTCAAATCTGAGATTCTTCCAACATCCCTTACGCAAAACCTTAAACTGCAGAGTTGCATATTACTTATGTTAAACTATGGAATATACCACTTGGGTAAAAAAAGGGGCAGTGGGAATCTCTTACTACCTGGCCATATTTCATATCATTTTCAGATGGTCCGGTTGATCCTTTATGTTCTTTTGTCCTTGATAACCAACCTTGAAAATTCTTTGAATGATAATGCTCGTTGTATAACTCATTGACAAATGATGCTTCAATGGAGTTTAGAAACAAAGTATGTTTCTCATCTGTCCATCCCTTTGATGCAGAATCTGCTACCTGAGGATCCTGAAGGATAAGAGAAATATACAAATATACATAATGAACTTGGTAAGAACTAGTGAATACGCTAAAAACACTAAAAGACATGAGATGATGCAAACAACAATATTTCTAATCTAACTAAGAACAGACAACCAAGGAATGAGCACACAGGTTATGAAGTGAGAATGCAATCAAATATTTGCAAAAGTTAACGTCACAAGTAATATAAGTACTAGTCAGCAACACAAGATTTCAAGGTTAGTCCATGTTATCCATCCCTGGCCTACATAATTACACTGTCTGCTGACTAATCTTTTGAAATAGTGAATGACTTGTCAGCCCTATTTACATCTCCATATATAGTTTTATACATAACACACACACACACACACACACACACACATATATACACATAGATATAAATATGCCCATTCAACTCATTTCCTACCGATCCATGCCCAATCCCTGCTCGACCTCGAGTCAAGACTTCTTGGCAAATTCCCCTTGGGAATTAGATGTGTAAATTCAAGAGGAAGAGAAAGAGCTGTGTAACTCTGCCTTCTCTCGACACAACCGATCTTGTCAAATCAAGCAACAAGACATGGCAACAGAACTATAGCTTAATCGTAACTAAAAAGTAAGATATTGGATATGAATTCCCTTTGGGACTTTTACGGTTTTGTTGTTGTTGTTATCATATATGAATTCCAGAAATTCATGGAGAATACAGGCTCATCTGGTCAGTTGTCATACAAGATGAGATGATACAAAGAATAAAAGTGAAAGACGGTGGCAAACATGTATGATAGCACCCAGAAGTTCGAGCAGAATCCCAGAACTTTGTTTCTGTTTCCTGTTTTAAGGGGTAAAAGACCTCAAGGAATTGGTCAAAAAAATTTTGGTCTAAAGGTTATTGGGTAAATATTGCATCTTTCTACCTAATGGACATGATCTCACGCACAACCTCCTGCAGAGTTTTAGAATTGCCGTTTATCTAATGTTTTGGTTTCAGAAGTTAACAAAAGAACCGGATGCAAACTAAACTTTAACTGGTTGCAGGATGACATCTATCTCAATTACATGAATCACACCTTTTCTTTCACTTTCTTGCATAATCTTCTTTTTCAACAAAAATAATCTCCTTAAAATAGCAGCAATCATTTTGGTATTATGATCAATCTACAGTAAAACCAAGGTGATCCACGCTCTTAGCAAAATTCACAATTCCACCCTGTTCTCTTGAGAAGAAGATAATCCGATTTAAGATATCAAAATGTTCCATTTGTATCCAATATCTACGCTCCTCTCCTAAGATTTAGGGGAAATGGATGGAAACCTAAGAGTAAGTAAACCCAGATTAATTCAAACAATACATACACACCAAGATTCCTTCTTGAAGACCTGAACCTTTGAACCGATCAATTTACACCTAAAAGTTAGAACTACTCACAACCGTACAGTGAGGCACAAATCATCGTCTACTGACCTTGCTCGGGCCCTCGATCGCCGAAATCTCCGCCGTGCTCGGCCGATTCGAAGAAATGTCGCCCATCCAGGCGCAGATCTCTTCCCAGGAAACCTTTTCTCGGACCCGATCGCGAGGAGCAGACCTCGTTCCTTGATGTCCGCCGCTTCGGATCGCCTCCTGTCGACACACCGGTGGCGTTGGAGGAGGAGACTGCTAATAAAACAAAACCATGGGAAGCGGGCGGGGAGATATTTATGTGGGCGGTGGGGCCTCTGGGCCCCTTTCCTTCGTGGCACCGCTTTTCCACGTGGAGGGACCGCCGTCTGACCGAAACGTGGCGAGCACCGTAGCGTAGCCATCTCCGAGCCAGATATTTTGGAGGCCCCCCAAAAGATCTGCGGTGCGGCGCGCGTTGACGTGGCACGTCGCCCACAGTCCAAACCGTACTTCCGCCCCAAAATTACGGGACCCACGGAAGCTTCACTAATCACAAGACGGGTAGGCGAAGTCTATCGATTTGGAATGCTTACGGACACACCGAGATATTTGTTGGGTTAAATCTTATGTTAATCCAAGTTGTTCACATGGGATGTGACAACATCATGACGTGTCCGAGGTTCTTGATTCGATTTACCGCCCTTTTGCTTTTGTTGCTTCGATGCTGCTTGCATAATATGCCTATGTACGAGTCTTGATGTGATATAGATAATATGATGTTTCTGGATTGGGCCTTAGCTCAATGGCCCATTTCAGGCCCACAAACAAGTAGCAGATAATTAATTTTCGAACCAAGTTGTTTGGGCATGATGTGACTTGAGATCTCAACCTCGACCAACATTAGGTGATGTGGTGGTGCTGGTTTCTTCTGGTGTCATATGTTGTTGCCATTCTTCTGCTTCAGCATTCTTGTGATCTCTCTCACTGAAGAACAGAGTGTGAAGATCTGAGACTACAAAGATTCTACAGAGACTACAAAGATTCTCCAACTCTGTAGAATTTGAGACTATAAAGATTCTACAGAGTGTGAAGATCTCTCTCAATGAGGTTTGTGGCTGATAAATTGAGTGAGCATATGAGCAGAGCAAGTACTTCACTTCACTATAAACACAAGGAGCTTATTTGAACTACTACATTGAATTAGCACGGTATCTACAATATTAATGAAGATTCTCCCAAGCTGAAAAGGCAAATCCACTTCGAATAAAAGCCGAAAGCTTTCCAAGCTTTATACAACGTAAGAGATGCATGCATAAAAAAGCAAAGACAGGAACTTGTTGGAAGCCACCAGCTTAGCCTTCAGCATCAGCTGAAGCACTGCTTGCAAGGTTTTGTGTTTCCAGCAGCTTCATTTGGCGCTCGGCGTGCTCTCGCTCACACTGGCTGATCCCCATGATAATATCAAGCATGGTGCCGGTCGTACCGAAGAAGACTAATGGCGCCAATGATTTCTTTCGAATTCCCACTGGTATTGCAATTAAAGCTCCAGCTACTGAGAAAAACCATGTACCAAGCGCACTGCAAACACCAATAATAGGTATGATGAACTTATTCCCATCCAACACATATTTCTAAAGCATTTTCTTGAATACAATAGAATAATACATAAGTCTGCTTTTACAAATTAGTAATCTGCTCATAATGAAAAAGCTTGGTGGATCGAATATAATCCAGAAGTTGACAATCAGCGACAAAACCAAATGTCAAAAGAAAAGTGTAAACTTATGATGAACTACATATAAACCAAGACCCATTGCAATAAAAAAAATGTAAAATTAACTATGAATGTCACTACGTAGATAAAGGCCATCAGCATGTATTTGGAGGAAAATTAATTTAGCTTACAGTCCTGATCGATGGTAACTACTAAGAACAATGCAAGTCCTAGATCAAATAAAACTGATAACCATAAATAAATAATCTTTACATATTTAGTGTATGTTTATCAGTCACATCCTGTAAATTAGTTACTTTAATCAACAACAAACTATAAACATTTGATGCCAATCTTAAAAGAAGGATCCATCAAGTATTCAGCGCTTTAAGGAAATAAAGACCTTAACATTTTTAAAGTACATCATGGTATCCAACGAAACAGTTACTCTACAGACAGATGGGAAATCACACATCTGACCACAATCGTATTCGAAGGATGCTTCAAGGAGTCAATGTCTTCTCTTTGCAACCCACTCCAATGGTAAACGTTGATGAGACTGTGGAGTCTACCTTCACCATGTAACATCTCATAGCATGTTTTTTATGGGAAAAATGTACGAAAACATTTGTACCTTTCAAGGAAAAGTGAGAGACACAAAGACATAGTGGACATCATCCTTGTGTCAAGATTTTGCATTTGTTGTAAATTTCACCATACTTCGATGAACGTTTTAGATCGAATATAATAATATGCGCTTGTGTAAGTTGAAAAGCTCATAGAGCACTCAGCACTCTAGTGGTTCCACCATGACATGTTCTTGTACTTTGCCAATTATGGTACTTTTACCAAGTTATCTACTACAAAATAAGCAGCATCCCAAGTGATCAGTCTATGGTTGACTTAATAATATTCCTCCTAGTTCCTCAGACAGAGATGACTTAGTAAGTGGTCAAAATAGTGAATTTCTTAGAACTCAAAATTAAAATGTATCCCAAACTCATTAGTAGGTCCGCCAGTGCAAATCTATACCTCGCATTGGCTCCACAACAAGTATTGCTCGATTCACTTCAATTCTTTTTGTTTTTTCTTTTATATCCTAGTGAATGACAACTATTATATCCTAGTGAATGACAACTATAGCCGCATAAATTTCAAGTACCATAAACTTGAAACAGATTACTCTGACCACTGAATAACCACCTCAGATATTAATAGCTACATATTACTCATAATCCTAGTAAATAACCAAATATATCTCAATGTCTACACCTTGTTCTTGTCTTATTTCAGAATCATCTTCTGAATTTTCATTCACAAATGCAATTTCCATAACCTAACAAAGTGTCATGTTTGCACAATAACCCCAAGAAAAACAAAACAAAGTCTAAAGAATGGATAAAGTTTCAGATATTCCATCCCTAATGTATGAACATACTTTCGAGTTTTGCCTTTAAACAGCCCAAGAAACGAATAACTCGTGTAATTCTAAACACTTTTCCGTGAGGGTACTTTTCCATTAATGAACAATTAATTCTCTTCTTTGAAATGTATGAACAAAGGGACTACACATTACAAGTTACCGCCTTGGAATCACTCTAGATTTTGAACGGACAAGATAGTCATTCAACAGGATCAGTGCCTTAGGAGTTCTATATAAGCGTTGTGTGTGAGTCCTCATGAAGTCTAGGAAATGCTTAGCAGCAATCATATCGTACATCATGAACATATACATGCCGACATATGCTTCAAAGTGCCAACTATCTGCTCGCATCAGATATTCAATGAACCCTAATCGATAGTTCTAGCAGAAGATAGTCCTTTGAACAAGGGAATGCAACAAAACATAAGACCTAAATTGGAAACACAAAACAGAAATCAATATGAGAAATCGGAACTGCTCGACGCGTTTGCTGAAGGAAAAAGAAGGGGCTTTTGATCGAAGAGGAGAATGACTCACTTGGCAACGGAGCAATCTGCGAGATGCTTCACGTTGTCCTGCCCGCCTCCGACCGGCCCCTCCATCTCGCTCGATCTCTCGCGCTGCCTCGACGACCCACATGAAGGAGACAAAAGACGTCGACCGATCGATCGATCGATTAGGGTATTTTGGGGGCACGAATGGTTCAGCTGTGCCTAGTCAAACAGGGTACGGGATCCAAACATATCCTATTGGTTCAAATCCTGGACCCCACAAAAACACAAGCCCTTTTTAAGTCCTACTCAAACCGCCGCTCTTCCCTCTGTTTTGAGTTCTCAACGACGGCGTCGAGATAGTGGTGGCATCGAGAAGCAGGTCTTGGGCGAAAGAATGGCCGCCGTGAGGAGGATATCGCCGACATGCTATGGTACCCTTCTCCCCCACTCTGCTTGGGTCCCCCAAACCCACCCGCGCCTCCCCCCCCAATGCTTGATACTGGAAAGAAGCAAATCAAACCATACCCTGGTAGGGCGCATCTGTTCTTCCTTGGTAATTTTCAGTTTGGTATCGAGCATTCGAGATCGAGTCAGTGCTTGCTTACTGCGTTCACATCTGTTCTTCCTTGGTAATTTTCAGTTTGGTATCGAGCATTCGAGATCGAGTCAGTGCTTGCTTACTGCCTTGTGAACGCAGATGCTGTTGTCTAATAAGGTCTTCCTTATTAGCATCTAAGTGGGGAATGTGGGTTCAAACAATCAAAGTGGGAGATATCGATATACATATGGTCAAAAGGAATTGGATTTTAGTGAAGTGTAAACAAGTTTCAAAAGAGTTTCAACAAATCCGATTAGAATATTCATGTTTCGATACAACCACAAGAGCAAGATGTTGTCTTGGTGATGATTTGTTCAGGTTGTTTGATAAAATCTTTTCTATGCATTATGCATCATAAGCATAAACATACAAGTAAAAGAGGTTTATAACCTTTTTGAACTTTTGGGATGAAGTTTTTCATCCGAAAGGTAGATAGGAAGTGATAGTTTTATTCAGTCAAATAGTGAAAATTTGAGCTGAACATTATCATTAGCCGAAGATCTAAGAGAATGGCTATAACCTCATTGGCAGTTCAGTAGGGGGAAAAAAGACTCATTGGTGGATTATGTTTGCAAGGTCCACCAATGAAGCTGGCTGGCCATTGACCCTAACCCTTCAGTTCTTATCCATGCTCTCAAAAGTGGTATATGACCAGCTCGGTTCTTGTGTTCGGTCACTAAGAAGCCCCTAACAACCTTTTCCGACTTGCTCCAGTGAGCGAATCAATACATCACGACAGAACCAAATCTGCTTGGTTGGTGATGTCTATATTGGCATGTGTTCATTTCTGTAAGCTATCATAGTGATAGAATTTAATTAGTTGGTGGAATAGAATTTGCTGCAGCACTTAAACGTGGGACAGAAAACATTATGAGAATGATCAGAGCATTAAACATCCACAACAGGATCTAGCGTGCAAAGTGCACAAGCCTTCCGTAATCCCTTAGTTTAATTCCATATCGAAAATAAGGATTAACGACAAAAACTTGAGTTTTGGGTATTTTGGATCGTGTTATTCGTAGATGGAAATAGAGGATCTAATATTTAGTCATACATAGGAAGTAAGAGAAACTAAGTTAGTATATAAAGAATTGATGGATATATGACTTAAGCATTTTGGATAAGTAGTTTAGGTTCAACAAATTGGTGTATAAGTAATCTTATGCAGGAGGACTGTGACACCTTATTCTTGTCTTCTAATCAATAGAAATATGTTGGTTGTCCAGTCAAATCTTCTTTGAGTAAATGTCTTGCAGAAACTTTATCCGAGAGTCATCTGATTCATCAAAGTTGAACGGATGCTGATAATTTTTGCCAAGAAATCATCTGCATGATTTACTTTACACCAGCTGTGAAACATCTCTATGACTCTCATGGGAGCTAATGCCTGTGATTTCAAATGTGGAGGATGACCTCTTTGGCTAATGATCAGCAGCACCTTCGTGTCATGTCTGGAACTTCTAACAGGTTACCTTACAATCTCCTTGTCTCCACACTGAGTCTTCACCTACCAAAGGTGGTTGCCATGTCCAATTCATGCACAGAAGAACAAAGTGACAGGACATGATAGCAAACCCCATGTCCTTCTCACCTTCTTAAAAGTTAAGTGCTTCATCAATTAAACATCACTCTTCACCACCTTGTTTTTTGTCTTTTACTTGAGGGAAAAAAATTGGAGCCTTAGCTTTTGGCCCAGGATGGGCTTCATAAGTTGGCATATCAACCAAATGACTAAATCATCATGAGTGATTGCTCTCAACAATATGTATTCTTCTAAAGGTTCATTGTTCATAATGTAAACCCTATGGTTGTTGAGTCCATCAAATTGTGGAGCATGTAATGCCATCAAAGTTCTTATTTGGATTGACATGAACTGGCAAGGAAAGAAGTTGGATGCCATGAACCTCTCAGGTTTGGGCTTCTTTATGGTGTTCTGTTTCTTTCAAATGATGTATTGGAACCACTCTTCAGGATGTTAAAGGTGGAGCTCTTCTTGTTGTTCTTTAGTGGTCACTGTGGCAGATTCACCTGCTGCAAGTCTTACCTTCTTGTGGGATCCACATTCATATCTCTTTCATAGGATTGTATCAGTGAAAAGAATAATGCAGGGGGTAAGTGAATTTAAATTGAAATCTGTCACTACATCTTTTGCAATTAGATGTTTAATCTTATGCATAAAACATACATATGGGTACTCAATTGGTCCTAAAGTATGATTCACTTTATATACTCTTTACATAATAATAGGATGCATTTGGGCACCATTTTTTTTCACATCCCAATCTTAACTCAGGATTATATATATATATATATATATA